TTATGGCCGTCGATCCTCTCACGCCCATTTCTTCCAAGAATCGCTGAAGATATACTGCCTCTTAGCGGCTTCTCCCAGAGCCATGTACTCTGACTCGGTCGAGGAGAGTGCGACAGTCCTTTGTTTTCTGGACTCCCAGGGCAAGGCACCTCCCTTCCAGGTAAATTTGTAGCCGGTGAATGAACGCCTATCATTGAGATTTCCTTCCCAATCTGCATCTGCGTATCCAGTAAGGTCAGCTTGCTCGGTGTTGAAATGTAGACCCACATTCAGTGTTCCCTTGAGGTACCGAAGTACCTTTTATGGCTGCTGCCCAGTGACTCGTCCCATAGTAATCATTGTATTGGCTTAGGACACTGGCAGCATGGGATATATCAGGTCGAGTGGTGACAGCCAGATACATCAGAGAGCCCACCAGCTCACGATATGGCGGTTCATCACCGTCGAACTTCTTCCATTTTCCAGACTTGGTTAGCTTGTTGCATACATCCAGTGGCGTACCTACAGGGTTGCAGTCCAGCATGCCAAAGCGTCGAAGTATACCCTTTATGTACGTAGTCTGAGTGATAGAGATTCCATTCTTGTCACTAATGAAATCCTTGCCTAGGCAATGCTTTAAATCGCCCAAGTCGTTCAATTCAAATTTCCGGCTCGGTTACTCTCTGCAACTAGTGATATCCTCGAAATTCTGAGACATGACATGGATATCGTCGACATACACTACAATGATGAGTTGATGACCACTCTGTTTCTTCAAATAAACACAAAGATCCGAGTCGGTTGGTGATGCGCCAAAGTTGCAAAGCTCTTTGTCCAATCGTTTGTGCCACACTCGACCTGCCTGATGCAGCCAGAGAGCTTTATTCATGTAACAAACCTTGTTACCCTTGGACAACTTCTCGAGCTTCTCGAGCTTCAGACTTCTTGATGTCGCTGTTTCTATGCTCCCTCCGGGTGATCATCTCCAACATATCCACGGTGTATTCTGGTACCTCCAAGTATACCTCCTCTTCCAGGACGCCGTTGATATGTCGAATTGCTGGTTGTGCATATTGTCTCGTACTGCAACAGCTACAGCCAATCGAATTGATTTATTTTGCGCGACAGGCAAGAAAGTCTCCCCGAAATCCGTACCAGGGCGTTGAGAAAAACCTCGCGCTACGATTCTTGCTTTCCTCTTCTCAAGCTTGCCATCGACCCCGTGCTTGTTGCGTAACACAACTCCGCTTCCGACGACCTCGCGATTCTTCGGTCGATCCACGACGGTACAGGTGTCCGTTTTCGAGATCCAGGTCATATCGTTCACCATCGCTTCCATCCACTCAGCAGATTCCGCACTAGAGATGGTTTGGCTCAGAGGAATTTCTGACAAAAATCCATAGCATCCGCCTGCTTGATCTTGCTCGACAGTAACCTCATTGTACTGTTTCCTAGGCCTGCCGGGCTGTTCTGTCTTCATCTTTCGCGGACTTCCTGGTCCTCGACTGGAGGTCACCCATTGGACGTCTTCTTCCAGTAAATCTTCGGGCTCTAAACCACGAAAATCGGGTTCGGTGCCTGACTTTTCCTCTGGCGAACTCTCTCTGACTCGAAACCCCGAAAACCGCGTTCGGAGCCAGATTCATCACTCTCTTCGTTTGTCACAAGTCCGTTTGGAGTCAAACCAACGTCAATGTGCGAACGAGGATCGGTCTCAGTTTTCACATTCTCGAATTTTTCGCAACCAACGACATCTGGACTGTTGAAGTTCTCCCCTGTCATGCAAGACTGTATCTCCACAAACTCTACATCCCGGGGACTTCTACTCGTCTCTCGCTTGGGATCCAGACTGTGTGCCCCTTTGCCTCTTCAGAATACCCAAGGAATATACCTTCTCTTAATCGCGGTGCAAATTTGTTGTTGTTTGTGGAGCGATCGAGGCAGTAATCCTTACAGCCGAATTCATGTTACGCCAGGTGGAAGACCGAACCAGATTTCATACGGTCTTTCCGCTCAATTTGCTGCTTGGACTGATATTTCTGATGTAGTTGGCCGTACACACAGCCTCTGCCCAAAACGATGGAGGCAACTTGGACTTTGCAAGTTGACAACGGGCCGTTTCTACCAGGGACCGATTTTTGCGCTCTACAACTCCATTTTGCTTCGGGTTGTGAGGTGCAGTAAGCCTTCTTTGGGTTCCTGAACGCTTTACAGGAACACTGCTCTACACCTCTGATTCAAGATGGCACCCACTGCACCCACTGCACACACAACACATACAACATGCATGCTTGCCAAAGAACACAAAGCCACGGAAATGGCAGATACTGCCAACCTAAAAGACCGAAGTTCTATTTATTCTATTTACATTTCTATTTACATAAAGTGTTCTGCATTTCTGGAAATCATTGACTACTTAAAGCGTTAAAATCGATAAAGCGATAATTTGTAACCACTCCAAAGTCAAAATATTCCCGGGTGTTATAACAACGTATAATAAATATATCATAAACACTGAAATAAATGCACAGAACTGTTGCAGTCATTTTCAAAGTATATTTCAAGTCAAGGTGACGTAAAGGCGGGTAAATAGTAAAAGTTATTTACTTTTTATAACTTTAGTCCAGCAACCCCTTTCATCCCTCTCTTAATCCTCGTCGCCAATTATAACTGTTATACACAAGAATCCCGGACCGTAAATAAAGTTATGTCGTCAACATACCTCTATTGACAACAATCCACAATTCCAAATATCCAATATAGAAGTAAAAAGCCAGGTCTATAATCATCTGAAGATGTCCCTTAAGCACCACCAATTCGCCAAAAGTCCACAAGATATGTCCAAAACAACCAGTAGTCAACAATACTTTCTGTCTCGTGCAGAACACCACAGCCATTAACTGAATTCTACCGCTAACGCTTCATAGCTCTACCAGGTTTCATTTCTGCAGTTTTGTGAAGGCACGAAAGTGCATCGCACATTCCCACCACTGCGGTGCAGCCATTCCTACTTAATGGCATATGTGGCCAATCCTGAAACATAGAGAAATACGTTTTTTCTGGCGAAATTTCGACCTTTCCTGGCGCGATTACATAACTTTCTCATCCTGCGAAGAATTCGTACGGCGAGAAAGTAAAAACAGAGGATCAAAAACGACTTTAGCCCACTGGCACACGCGTTTCATGTGCAGAAATACAAAGTTTATGTTTAAAGTCTTATTGCGCTGCTTCAGATTTTCAGCAAATCTGTAGATCGCTTATACTTCACCCGTTGATCGGGATGGTACGAAGCGATCTCGGAAATGAGAGTTTTCCGTTGTAACTCCACTCTAGGAATGTATCTAGGGGCGCAGAAGGCGGCCTGTCGAGGTGGGTTGGTCCATCTCCTCGGTCCTTCCTGACAGGGGGAATCAGGAAGGGCTCGTATGTATTCCTTTCTTTTATCAGTCACCTTTCTTCTCCCCATCATTCATTTCGTTATTGTATGTCTTACTCCCATCAGAATGCGAATTGTTCGCTCTCGCCTCTTCTATCGGAATGACCGAGCTTGTGAGCGGCGGCGACGTCCCTTGTTTCGCGGGGTCACGTGGCCCTCCCCCCGCTTTGTTTTTGGCGGTTGGCATGCCCGCATCACGCGGTTTCTTCTGTCCAATCGCGGTCCCCGCAGGGAGAGATCGAACTGACGTAGGTCGGGGAGATCTTTGGTGGAGCGTTGATACGACCACCCGGACCCTGCGTATCACGGTGAACTCACATCGTCAGCCCAGTGAGTAGGCGTAAGCTAAGCTCCGGTCTGGCGGCTCAACCCTCCATTCCACCAGTTGGGCCCCTGGCGCGCCGACCTTTGGGCAGGATCGGGTGAAAGACGTTCTTCGGAATGCTCCGGAATCCACGTATAAATGTCCGGCGGAAATTACCCCCCGTCAGGTTGCCCTGGTTTCGGCGTTACTCACGTCATCAGCCTGAAAGTGCAGGCAGTGAGGAGACGGGAAGAGGGCCTCGAGCCGCCCAAACCTCAGTTTGGGCGGCCCTCGTGGGCACTTGGATTCGTCGTGGCAGTGGCCCGATACTCTGGGCAAAGAGGAGGGACTCGGTGTCCCGGCGCTTGTGAGTAGCGCGTTGTCATACGGCAATATGGACTCCGGTACCAATCTGGATAATTGGTAGCCTAGAGCTGGCTGGGTGGCCCCACCGAGGCATTGATTGGGAAGGTTGCCGTGAGGGTAAACTTAAAATCCAGCTGCATCTGGATTTCGGCGCGCAAATTGCCCAATGTGCGGTTTGCGGGGGGTGAGGATAGACGCTAAAGCACAAGGTACCCACCCAGGGGCCTCGGTCCCCCGATAGAACATGTGAAGTGTGGAGGTAGTAGCCACACGCGCTCTATCGATTGTCCAATCGCGGTGTCATCAGTGAGCGTTTAGCATCGCAAAGTTCGCTTGAAGTTTCGGCGTCACCCGAGTTCTTGAAAATGGCAGCGGTGATTTGCCGTGCTGGGAACGTCGGCGTGCGTATTTGCCAGTGAGTCAGTGGCGTCTGCAGAGGCGCGCCCCTGTTGCATACAATAGAGGTCCTGCCCTCTGCGGTCTCCGACGCATACTTCAACCGTGCTGGCAGCGAAAAGTGTCCTTTTCCTGGCTCCCTTGCTTTGGTGCTCTTCAACGTTATGCTACATAAAATGTTACGACACGCGTCGCAGTTTTCATTCGCGCAAAGTCTGTGAGCCGTTCATTCCCACCAAAATAGCCTCCGACAATTTTTAAAATAAGACTATGACATTAACGCAAGGATGTAAGACAATTGTGCATGTCAATGCAGTAAGTAGTGATGATATTTTTTCAAGAAATAAATTTACATTATTCGCATTCTTTCTTTCTTGAATGATTATCAGTAAACCCACAACAGAAGTTTTTTTTATTAAACCTTCACACCACAAAAATTTGCGATTACTTCATCACTAGGCGGTTGTTTATTTTTCAGTGTTTTATTTTTCATTTACTTAATTATTTATTTCTTTTCAGATGAGTCAACGGACCTTGTTTAAATTTCCTGACAAACTAATGGCGGAGGAATCTGCAAGAAAAGGCAGAGTAATAGGGAAATCGCCTTGGAATAAGACGGAACATCAAAACCTTAGCGCGTCGATGTTCACTACTGAAAATAAAAGTCCTCCGAAAAATGAGAATGACGAACACTCCAAAGAAGGATACAAACAGGGAAAGATGGGTGCGAGAAGGTCTTCTTGGTATATGCGAGGCTATAAAAGAAGGACCGACAAATCTTTTGCTAATTGCCCTAGAAGAACCTGCACTGTGGTTGGAGGTCAACCCTTGGCGCCCACGTCGTCAGTTGATGAGAAGCTCACCATAAGCGCCCCAACTGGAACCAATATCATTCCTATCCCTGCGAGCAGCTCAGATGAAGTGATTGCAGAGATTTCGATGAGAAGAAGCCTAAAAGATTTCCTTCAGCGCCCTCCTGAGCAATCGTGGCAAAATGTTGAAGATTCTTTTCCTCCGTTGAGGGACATGAGCGAGAGCCTTCAGAACACGGCCACACAAGACGACTCTCTAACTAGCAGGATCGACACGCAAAACACAATTTTGTTCCGGAAAGACGCGTCGGAATCTGAAAACGTTACGTCCGATGAGAGAAGTGAAATTACTCTGTTTGCTGGAGGGCCTGATGGAGGGCCTGCTGGAGGGCCAACTGTTCCGCGCCCTCCCGAGAGGTGGATTGGAAATCAGCCGGCGCAACGAGGCACTCGGAACCCTCCCAGTGAAGAAGCGGGCAAGACAATCGGAAACCCAACGGTTCTAATGCCCCCTTCAGCGATCGTCCAGATAGAAATGCCTTCGGAACCGCTATTAAGACCTATTGATGAAGACAGGGTTGGTAATAATAACTTGCCACCAAGAAATGGCGGAGATGTGTTGAATTCTCAGTCGGATAGCAACGAAATGATTGGATCAAAAACATTGGCTGCTTCTGGTCAAGACAGCAGCGAGGAGGAGGGGTTATGCTACGCAATGGAGCGGTGCTTGCTGAAAATGGATATATGCAAAATTATTGATCGCATGTCTTATGCCAACTTTGAGGATATGAGGAATTGTATTGACATTATTGCATGTTTTTTCGTCACTGTGTGTTCTCCAGAGGACCAGAGGTAAGCTCATTAATATAATCAATATACATACCTGTAAAGTAGTTAAAATCACTAGCACAGAGTACTTCAGCTTCTTCTGTACTTTGTTAGATTCATGTGCTGTGTCTTCTAAGTAATTCAAATCCGGAAAGAAATCGACTTTCTAATTTTTCAATTTACAGAATTTGTTAGTGAACATAGAGGGTTCAAGGAGAATTAAGAGAAATAAAAAATATGTAATAAAAATACAAGGAATGTAAAATTGAGGTATAAAATAGTTTTAATGTTCAAATTCGTGAGTTTTGTCTGTATTTTTTTCATACTCTTTGTTGAAAAAAATTTGACACAAACGTTTAAAACAAGATATGCAGAATTATGTACATTACGATAAAATTTCAATATTAATATTATTTTGCACGTATTTCTCCTCTATAGAATCAATCGTAATCTCCTCTATAGAATATCCTATTATCAAAAATACACCCATTTATTGTAACAATTCGTACACAACACAACTGTTTTATTTAATTTTTTTAGTTTAGTTAACCCAAGTACATTTCATCATTATACAAGACACTGGATGTGCAGAATAAATATTGGACACTTTGTCAAGATCGGCATTTTCTAAACAATGGACATGTTTACACACAGCACGATTTGTGGTATAATATTTTGTAAGACAGATCCGTTTCTTTTTGCACCTAATCGAAAGAACAATGTGTGCTTGGACATTTACGAATGAATCTTTCCTGCGCGTTACCCTATTTCTATCTGAACAAATCTAAGGGAAGCAAATAATTCAGAGCGGGCGTTTAAACGGTCGCAAGTTGTCTGTCGCAAGAAGCGACGGGCTGTGATTTAGTACGGAAACGTTCCGAGGTGTCCCTCTCCGATGTGGCTCCATGTTGGATACGAGGAGCAACACAGCAGAACGAATCAAATTTATAAAGGGTTTTGAAATGATATCACTGATGATGTTTAATTTTCTAATTTAATTGAGCATAATATTCCTGCATATCTTTCACGTACTTTCAAAAACTTTCGAAACACATCGGAGAGGCTCACTTGGGACGTTCTTGATCGTCAAGACACTTTTGTGCTGGGTCCCGGAATTTCATGGTTCATGGCTAATGTTTTTTTTTTTTTGCTCGGTGATGTAATTAACCCACTTTATACTGTTATCGATTTCTCCCTCTCTGCCTTCCTTCTCATTTAATATTTCACGTTTCTCTAATTACCTGTATCTCAGATTATTACAACTTCTTTTGTGTTTAGAGAAGCGAATTTCTAAGTAATCCATTGTAAGTAGTAAAATAGAGTTAGGCAGTATAGAAAATACATGTATTAAAAATACGTATTTTCGATACTTTTGTAATTTGTATTTTGTATCGAAAGTATATATTTAAACATGTATTTTGTATCTGTTTAGAAAATACTTCCTGACAGTATTTTGTATTTTCAAAGTAATATATGCAGGTAGCCAATTTCAACCGTTCAGCTCTCTCGGATTACTTTCCTTTTCTATCTCATTATGAAGATTTAACAATATCTCCCTGGCCACTTAATGCCTTGTAATTTATAAGAATATAATAATAACTTTTCAATAAATCACTTAAATAGAATTACATATATTGAAATCTCCTGAATCAGGGTTTGCCGGTCCGGGTGGATGTTACGAGAGATTCGCAATCTTGCAGACGGTGGCGCTGGCAATCTCGCAGATTCGCTTAATATCGCTTTTCGATGGAGATAGTAAAAGATAGCTTCATGACTTTTCGGAGAATTTAGATATAATATTGTATATATACCTTCTTTTTATCTCTAATTAGTACTTACTAAAGGAAGAAAAGGACCGATCAAATTTCTGTACATGTCATAAGTAGATCACAGAACTTCATGCAATTGTATATATTTACTGAGATGCTTATACTTGCGCGTATCAAAAGGATATATAACCCATGGGTTATATTTATATATATATATATATATAACCATATATATATATATATATATAACCCATGAATGCGTGAATTAACCCATGCCAATGCTAGAATAGCGACATATTTCCGACAGTCTTCTGAGAAGATTGTTTTTGCTAGAATCGATTTATTTTCTAAAACTTTATTCGTGCGTTTTAATAATAAAATTTTAAATGTAATGTGGTTAACGTGAATGACGTTTAAAAGAAAACTATTAGTGCTACAGAATGGCACAGACTTTCCCGTATAATTTTTCTACTTCTTTTGGTCTCGGCTAGTTATTCGAAAATTGCCACAAACTCATGCAAGCTGCCATCTATCCCCGCTATTTTTTGAAATCATCTTCACTTTTCGGTTTCCTAACAGGCCGTCCATAAATTACGTACCGCAAATTCGAAGTATTTTAAATACCTCTCTCCTCCTGTAACGCACTCGTAACGAGCGCTTGAATGATCCGTAATAATTACGTAACGCTTGCCAGAACATCCCCTCCTTGTAAATGCAAGAAGTGAAATGAAATAGCACAATAAAAAATTGTATTCATTTTATTTGTTTTGTATATTAAAATAATTAAAGTCAGAATTAGGTGACAGGTGCACCTAACAATGAGATTGAAGGCAAGTTTTGAATGAAGGAAGACCGATAGGCGAGAAAATTTCTGACCACAAGCCGTGCACACGCCGGCGTTGTAGATGGCTTATGGCGAAAGTCCTCTCCTATTTACTTGTATTCTAGAAAATTCTAGAAAGCAGTGTTGAATATTTTCATCGTAGTCTTACAGATTCAATACAAAATTGATGAAAATATATTTTCATTTATCGTTACAACTTCTAATAACTTAAAATTATTTGTGCTTTAAAGCGAATTAATTAGTTAATATTTTAATGTTTTAGTACAAGGCTCAAAAAAGCAAGTATTTCAAAAAAATTCTATAAAAAAACAAAAAAATAAATCAGTGTTACGTAGCATTAATCGAATATCACCTGCCACTTTGAAACGTAACGGAACGCTCCCACCCCTCTGTTTGACGTTACGTAATGTATGGCCGACCCCTAATAGTAGAACGGAAATATTATTTTAACAATATTAACGTACAGTAAAAACTCACACGAAATGGCTATTTTCTTGTGAAAAATTTGGAGCCGTTTTTAAGAAAACTACTCTTATGCGCTACAGTAAATTCAAAATTTGATGCTCCTTTACACCGAAAAATTTTGAGTTTTAGAAAAACTTCATTAGAAGTCATTTTAAGCACTTTAACTCACAAATACAAAAGTGTTTTCAAATTGCTGGAAATGTGAATGGCTGGGCAAGCGGGACTGGCGTGGCGGGAAGAGCAGACGTTTTGAAATAAAACGCTTTGTCGATATCAGGGATGTTACGTGTATTTCCGTTAAAATCTCGAAATTCATTTTCCGCACCATTACATAACTTTTCCTATTCTACGATATTACTACGTATATTACTCCGTGTATACGTATGCATACGGGAAAGAAAAAAATAGGACAGAAATTATGATGTATAAAACACCGTTTGTTGTATTTTGTATTTTCAAAAGTATTTTAAATTACTATTTTGTATGTAAAATACTTTTACGGAAGTATTTTATATTGGGTATCTAAAATACTTTTGGAAGAGTATTTTGTACCTGAAATATATTTTTCAAGTATTTTGCCCAACCCTGATAATAGTATAATGTCTCTTAGTACTGAGTGGTAGATATCCCATAACTCAGTGCCAACTACTTCGCGCCAGCGTTGATTGTCAAGGGAAAATGTTTAGGATCTGCTGCTTTCTCCTTTCTCCCTTCGGCCATTAAGGGCACTGAATGGTCATTGTGTACCTTTTGTATCATTAATTATGCTGAATATTTACCACTATGATACCGTTAAACACTTTGTCAATCAGACAGCAATCCCATTTTTACGAGACGAGCTTTCAACAACACATTATAATCATTCGCTATTATTCGCATTATTAAAATGTCTATTAGTCATAGAAAAAAGTTCTCTGTAGAACATTTAACCTTATGTAACATTTGTGAGATTATTTGAGATGGTTAGAACCAGTGTGGGCCAACGTTCAGTTTTAAGACAGTCTGGGAGTGAGAAAGCCAGTGGCAAGTCTTCTTCGTGGGGCCTTGTGGTCCAAATGTAGTTCTAGAGACCGGCGTATCAGCTGGAGACAGAGGGCGCTGTGCAGCATATAATTGCCCTATCTGGCATCAAGGGCTTTTGCGCAAACCACTTGTCAGCCGAGACCCACTCCAGACGCTGCTGCCACATTTTTATACCTGACGACTCGCTACAGGTAACTGCGACGACGAAAAGAAAAAAATCCATATCAAATAATAAAAACGGAAAATACAACTGTTTCAACTGAATACAAACAAGATTGAGTGGCTTAGATATTACTCACAAGATGTAAAAAGCCATTTTTATTTCAGTTATTCGAATGGATACAATGCCTTTCTGCACCGTTTTCAAACAGACGTTTCAAATATATGGCCCCCCTTCTACTTGCCTGCCTTAAATTAATAAATTCCCTTTACTTTATGTACATGATCATGAGTTCAGCAATGGCAAAAATAAAGATTTTGTTATTCTCATGAACTGTGTTCCAATTACATACCATTTTTCTACAGGATTTTGGATGGCCAAACGCAGAGTCCAATATTAATAGACGGAACAAGAAGCGATTATTAATAATTTTAAGATCAATATAAATAAACGTTGTTATTATTAAAAGTTAATTTTCATATTTTATTAAAATTGCTTTGAATCGCAATGTTTTGTTGTTAACTAGACGTTCATACTCTGGTAACCCTTATTACTGAACCTTGCCAAGCAGTTTCAGAATTGACCTTCCCATAACAAAAGGACATACAGCTGCGAACTGAATCGTATTTCTATATCAAAACAGCATCCAACAAATATTATTTAAATACAAATGAGCTGTTCAATTTCTTTAAAACAAAATCGGCGCTTTTAAAATCAAACCACTCTCTCAGATTGAGGATGTCGCTCTCTGGTTCTAGCCACCTAATTTTTGTCTGTAATATATTTTTTTGTTGATTTTCTTTACATTTTCACTCCAGAAATATTGTTATGGAAACATTTTGCAAATCACTGGAGGACCCACAATTTGCCGCCAAAGCTGGTGCTTTTTATAGTGTTATTCAAAGCATTACTATTGAAGACATTCCGGTGAAAAATGTGCTCCTTGAAGCTTTAATAACGACGGTATCCGGTAAGTAAATGGCCCTGTTCTGTACGATTTTTAAAAAGTTATTGCAGGGAGAAAAATTATTTTATTTTTTCCTGATAGATTATTGCTTGTTATTGCCTTTAATACGGAGCTTGATATACATTGCATAACTTACGTGAACCAAGAGGATCTTGATTCCAAGGGAAATATGAAAAAAGTTTAATGATCCTTCATGCCCTCTTATGAAGCTAATTATGGGAAGGGAGTATGAAAAGACAACCCGAGACAAGCTATCACTTACATAATCAATAAATAAGTACAACTGGATTAAAAATATGTAAATCAGGATTAAAATTAGGTAAAAAATAACATCTTGTCTGCACCACGGGCTTTAATTGGTTCTAATGAACTCGGGCGACAAAACGTCCTCGAACCAAACGTCGTCGGGCTTCTTGTCGCCGATAGAATCCGTATAACGCCCTTGGCGCATAAGTAACTTTTATTTTTACTGATACGTTATAGCTTATTGCCGTCGCTACGGATCTCAATACACACTACATAACTTATCTGGATCGAAAAGATCGTGGTTACGAGGGAGATATGAAAGCAGTTGAACGATGCTACACGTTTTCTTATGAAGGGAATTATGAGACGGAATTATGAAAAGACAATCTCAGTTAAGTTAATTAGAAAAACCCTACCACGATGGATGTCACAGACCTAGAAGCAGTGGTTGTTCATAGTAATTTTTTAGTTGGGCCCAGGTTAAGGGTACTCTGCACACGTTCTTTCGAATCCAAAATAGAATGGTATTAATTATTTGTTTCATTACCTTTTCACCAAGTTATCATAATATTTAAGAATTTCTCAAATTTTCCAAAATATTTAGTGTTAATATTTTCCTAAACTTATTTACATAGTGTTTTTATGTTGTGATAGGAAAGCAAACCAACGTGTTGAAGGAAACATCTACCAGAGATATATGGAGTGTAGAGTAACTGGGATGGTTACTTGGAAAAGAAAAAAAAAACCAACAGGCAAACTAGAAATTACTTTGGTGTGAAAAACTCAAGGGATTTGTAGAGCACTTGGTTAGTCAGTGTCTGCTTAGTCAATTTTTAACTCTGATATTATTCCTCATGATATTGGTAATACTTAAAATGTTATGTTTGGCCCAATTTTGTTTGTTAAGCAAATATTGTTGGTTGTTCCCTTCGTAGCAAAAGTAGACGACTGGAAAATATGTAATATATGTTGCATTAACAGCCCTACCAATATACGTGGTGTAACATTTTTTCTGTGCATAAGCCAAGAATAGCAGGAGAATAGCGAAAGCTCCTACCAATAAACATGGACTAACTCGAGCACGGAATAAGAGTGGTATAGTTTCCATGGCAACCGCTAAACACCGGAGACACGTAGTTTAAGTGTGGAATAACCTGGAAATAACCTAGAAATACGAGAACAGAGGCGAATAAGCACGAACTGTTTGTGCGTTTCGCTTCATTGTATTCCTAATTTTCAATTCGACTGTACTTTCTTTTCTTGTGTTTTCTGGAATATTTGGCAACCTAGTTTATTTCGTGAATCGTTAATTTGTTCCTATTTTCTTGGACTTTTGGCATTGGAAACTTCGAAGTGATTTTTTTGGCGTTTCTTATTAGAAATAGAAGTTAAACAACATTGGTGAAATGTACAGACAGCCGAGGGAAAAAAGTAACCGGACACGTGTGAATTTGAAGGGTATTCGGCTGAATTTCGAAATAAAAATGAGTTTTCGTGGGACGGTATGCAGGAGTTAACCAAGTGTGTTCAAGAGTGTCATTAACAGTACGCAACCATATCCCTTATAGGCCCATAGCGAGTCCATTATAAGTATTTTTAATCATTAATCGTGCATACGTATAATACCTCATAGAAAATTATTAAAATAAAACAATGTATATCCTTAAAGTAAATAGTGTTATCGATGATCAATTAAATAGATAAAATGGCATGACAGACTGTTCTCATATTTTCAATTATTCAACATTAAAACAAAGACTGAAGATGAGAATTTTCATGGCAGATTTTTTTTTTGGAATCTACTTCTTCCTCTATGAATAATTTATGACCCCACAAAACGCATGAAAAAGAAGAAAAAAATACTGTTTACAGATGTTTGTTATATTGAAAAGCTGCTTTCAATGCTCAGAAGAGACTGCAGAAATTATGCAGAGCTGTTGCTTTCAAAAGTCAGAATTTTATGTGGAGGAAGAAGAAATCGACTTCTTATACTACCAATAGTAGCAGATGTTTGATGAGCTGCAGCAGTTTGGAGAGCACTTAAAGAGAACAATTAAAATAAAATGTATAATACATAATTGACTTAACATTTTAAGAAAGTACTAATTACAAATAAAAGTTATACTTGTAAGTCTGATATTAGATATATTTTTATTTTATAAATATGCTCTTTATGCTATTTATAAATATTTTATAAATTGAACATTTAAATTTTTAGGTAATACATTCTTCTTTATGTTCAAGAATACAAAAAAAAAAAATATTTTCATTGAGTGTTCTGAGAAAACTTTGTATTTTAAAATTAATTTCCATACTGCTAATTTCTTACCCGTTTTAAATCTGAATTTACTAGTTTTTCTACAAAAAAATACAAGAACTTGTCTTGTATTCTAGCTCTCTGCAACATCAACAATCTCTAGCAAAACAACAGAAATTAGCTTTAGGAAAAATATAAGAAAGGAGTGGATTGGTTTTCAATGTAAATAAAAAAAATGTTATGCCAAATATAATTTTGCAGATCCTACTCTTCAACTTCACTTAAAGCATTAATTGTATCCAACTACATGTATATAATATTATTCTTTTATCCAACATTTTATAGCTAAAAGTTACATAGCAAATTTACATAAAAACAGTGAAAAAAATGTCATAAATATTGAGCCTTCCCCAGGTATCGGACTAAAAAATTGGTTCATAATGAACTCAAATTAATAGATTCGAACTTCTAAAAAATCTTTTGGGACAATACCTGATTAATAAAAAAATTGTCATCATGTTTTTATGTGAATTTGGTAAGCAATAGTTATGAACATGTCAGTATCACAGTTGGTCATTAATAAAAAATATTCATGTAAATGAGTATTTGAATTCATCAACTACTGTCTTAAAATAGAAAAAATAATCTTGAAATTGGTGTATTTTAGCACGCCGTTTTAAGTTGATCCCTGCCTTTAAGATAGACTGTAGTAAGAAAGCATTTTAGTGATCTATTCTTTATTTCAAGTTTCGGAGGGTAATGGTTCAGAAAATGAATGAATAAAAAACAGATATTCTTGAGAAGATAAATCTTTTAATGTGGGTCAGAAACTAATTTCATTTACTCAAATTTTCAATAAATTAACACTTCAAATTTTAAATAAATAACAACGAATTTTAAAAAGATACTGAAGGAGGATATTTGAAATACAGAGAGGAACGAGAGGACAATTGATGTTAATGACGGACTGTTGTCCCAAATGGAGAGCGGTTGGCAACCCTAGCCGGAACACTTCCCTCTTTATTTATTTGCGTCAAAAACAGTCAAAAACTTTAAAACCTGTCTGTGACGTGCCATGGGGAGAAGTAATTTGAAGTTGTATTTATGTCCAGAAGCATAACAAGGTGCTATCTCAGCATTTGCTCTATGATCAGGGAAACTGGATGAAAACCTGATCGAGATGGGGCTCATTGATCCGCAAGCTGAAGCATATTAAGTGTTTTGACAAATTATACAATACAAATATAAACTAATGCATTATATGTCATTGTTAAAATAAACATTGATATTTTGGTTTCTGATCACGAATATTGTCTTTAATTTACAGAAACAATTATGCAGGAGAAAAGAGTTTAATTTTATCTTAAATTTGTGTACCGATTTTAATTGTTTATTGTCATCTGGCAATGTGTTGTAAAGTAACGTACATGTATTATATGTGGATTCCTTTTAATAAGCTGTTGATACTGATATCTGTTGAATGTGATTTTTACGCGTTATGTTGTAATTATTAATATCAGTACTGAATGAAAATATGTTCCCATATCGTGGCAGTTTCGACAAAAACTATAGATTCGTTTCAGATTATTTAAAGAGGCAAGAAAATGGTAAGATTCTCAGCTCAATGAAGAGTGTCTTCCGGAAATCACGTGGATGGTATTTTTTATTATTCGAATTATTTTCAGCAATCTAAAGGTCTTGATATTATAGGAGGAACTTCTCCAGAATATTGTGTCATATCTCAGGACTGTACATTTGCAAAATACAAACGAGCTGTATGAAGGCTGGGAGTATTTTGGAAGAATTCCTGAATGCATAACATAATGAAGTGTTTTAGTGTTTAATTGTGTTATATGGATATTCCATTTCAGGTTTGACAGAATTGAGAGTCGTCATTTTTTGCTGAGCTATCTCATTCTTGTAATGTGAGTATATCGGTCACAAATTAATGTTTTGTTTTATAACCTAAGAGTAACTGCAAGGTAATTCGAATTTTCTCCAGAAGGTATAACCGCGTTCCTCTAATTTCTAATAAAATCTAGAAAATGTCCTCAGTGTGAATGAAACATGTGTGAATGAGATTACGAATTTAAACTTAAAGTTGAATTGAGGGACAGAATTAATTGTAATTTTAATGTTTATTGCAGAATGGGACACCGAAAGTGTAGACAGAGAAAAATCTCTGAACGCCGTATTCCTTCTCTCAGAATTTTATTATGAAATGACTTATGAAGACGAATACATGAATGTATGTGGTGAAACGCTCATAAACTGCCTCAAGACATTAGTAACAGAAGACGACAGAGACGTGGAAACTTTGACCACATGTGTAAGAAATTTATTGTAATACTTTCTATCAACAGATATCTCTAGAATTTCACATAAAATGTACATGATCGAACGTAAAAACACTCTAACTTCGGAAATTACTTATATTTGGGAATTTCCAAATCTATTTTATAATTCCACGATTGGATATAATATAAATTTGAATAAAATTACTTGATATGGGTACCGTACACCCTTGGAAACATAATATTTCACGTCGAAAATGCCTTGGCTGAGATGTTGATGGCGATAGACAAAGCTGCCTGACGTATGCCAATGTAACGAGGTTATTCAAAACTACGTTCTCTAGGCCAAACTATTAAGATTAAATTTATTTTATTGGAGAGATTTAAAAACATTTTAACGTACATTGGGGAATACGTATGTGTTTGAAAGATTTCCGTGTTGCCTGCTCATAAACTGAATGGACCTTAGTCTGTGTACACGTAATGTTACATTAGTTTCCTTAATACAAAGTATTTTGTCATAAGGGTAGTGTTAAAACAGCAAATGGATGGTTGAAAGTCAAAGTGTTCCAGACATTTAGAAGTAACGGGTTCAATTTTCAGTCAGCGTAGATATTTTTATCCATTCTACACTACCACAAAATCCACTAAATTAGAACATTCTACATTTGTCTTGACAATGTTATGCATAAAGCAGGCAAAGTTAGCTTATTTGAATTCTGAAGAACCTACATACTTGAACTCGTGTATATGGAACTAAATATATGCGTATTGCAGAATAAAGATAAAAATAATAGATTCTAACCCTACCGCCAGCGCGCCATTTTTGACACAAAACGATTCAGAGAGTGCGGCGATATTTGGACCGCCCATGGCATTCATACACCAAAACATGAAATAATTTTTTTTAAACTATACATGCAAAAGTCCCCAAAAATTAACGTGGAAATATCAACATTTGTAAAAATTAAATGTCAGCAGATAACACTTAACCTGCCGATACTTACAATGTTCAAACCACTATGTATTTTTTTCGGTCGCATTGAAGTTTAATGTACTCGCTTAATGATAACGCTCTGGCAAAGCCTATTTTGAATTGATTTTTTAACATCCACTAATAGTCGTAAAAATTGCAACACCAAGAAAGAGACATTCTATTATAATGAGATTTATTCTAAAGATTACGAATGTCACAATATACAAAGATTATAATCATAGAATTGTACATATATTTGACCTTGAGTATTTAGTATGGCGTAAAGCCGCCACGCGCTGCCATTAGATCCTCTAGACGTCGCGGTATGCCTTGAAGGGGAGTCTGGACTTGCTGCTGGGGAACCTCTGCTATGTGGATTCTATGATGCGTGACCACAAAGCATCAAAAGTGGCTGCAGGAGAACCAGAACGAACAAGTTGCCGACCGATCATATACATGAATGTTCGATGGGCATGAGGCAAACGTGTGGGACAGGGAAGCACTGGTACCCGTAATTCTTCGCAGAAAGCGTGCACATTCCTCGCCAGGTGAGGTCGGGTCCTGCTGAAAATCGGCATGTGTAGCTGCTTGCTGGATGAATAGTACATCTGGCTCTATAACCTCCCTAATGTACCGGTTGCTGTTTAGATTGTCCTCAATAAGTATTAGGTGAGATCACACATTGTAGCCAATGGCTCCTAAAACCATCACACGTGTCGTTTGTACTCGATAGAGCAGAACAATGCAGGTTAGTAGATTCAATTCACCACTGTAGCGTCGAACACGTACGCCAACGGATAGACAGACATACGGACGAACGGACAGTCACAGTGACGGACGAACGGACAGTCACAGTGACGGACGAACGGACAGTCACAGTGACGGACGGACGGACAGTCACAGTGACGGACGGACGGTCACAGGGACGGAGTTAGGTCCTGAATCAGGACAGTATATGGCCGCGGCGCCTGGTCTCTGCTTGTAGATTTTGAGTAGGGTTCAGGTCAGGCATTGTGACCAATCAACAAATTTGAATTTCTTATTGCTTTGCAAACCTCAATTGATCCAGAGGAGACTTGTGAAAAGGAGATTGGTCTTGTTGGAGTTGATTTATACTTTAAGAATACAATTCGTACTGATTGGATCATGATAGCTCCCAGTATGGTGATGTATGATCATGATGACTCCCAGTATACTGAGCAGCGTTTAAGCAGCGTTCGAATCATCATTTCATTCCCATGAGACGACATCCAGCCCAAACCTGCTACAGAGAGATGACCTGACCTGGGTATGTGCTTTATGTACCGAGAATCATGGCAACTTCCTCAAGGGATCTCAGAAACATTCACCATCAGAATGCCTCTCTGCAAACCCTAACTTCAATGTCGACATTGCAAATTAAATGCCTTGACATAATACGAATAATTGTAATTGCTGAATACCACTAATTCCGTCATTTTTATTCACATATTTATCAATAGCATTCGGGAATCAATTCATACATTTACTATTTTATTTATTTCTGAGCAAAGACATTGTAGCAGGAATGAAACATATCAAGGCAAATAGGAAACGTCAAGGCGGGATTAAATGAATTAATTACAGATTGAAAAAAAGTAGTTTCTTCTCAATATATGGCTAGAATTCTGTGATGTTACTTGTTCAACAACTCTCTTTCCAAAATATCCAAGGTATTACGAGAGCGTTTACATAGTATTTTTTATGGCTTATAGGAAATTATGGTTGTTAGGCATACAAATAGTTTTTTGTTCGTGGAAAAGTGAAAATAATATCGGAATATTTCTTTTTAATTTGTGATTTAAATCGATCTTATCGTGTTATTTTCATCTCATTGCCTCATGCCCAGACTTCTATTACTATTTTTTTTACTTTCTTGCCCACACTGAGTTAAGTCAAAATACCTATAGGCATTTTGGTATAAAATATAAAAATATGTCGACGATTAAAATAGAAATCGAGGGAAAATACGAATGAATCTAAACAGAAATGAGACATGGGAGACCTAAGACGTCATATAGCAGCAAGAAAAAAGAGTGTACGTAAATATTTTAGATACTAGGAAAATATTTTCTTAAATGCTATTTAATGAAAAGCGACATTGTCATCAAAGACAAAAGAATGCAAATGGCTCGGTTAAAGTGGACGCACTAGCATCGGATGCCCAGTGTAATAATACAGGTGAACAAAAGAAACATGTTATTTTGATAGATGAGAATTTTTTCATCAGATTTGATGTGGATTTGGTAGAGTAACCACTTGTCACCATGATGGCATAATTTTTTTATGAGCAGTTTTCGTAAGAATTTGTTTTGATATGTTAGGCGAAGGACGTACAGGTTACGAGGGAAATTTAAGGTAAAATAGGCGAAAGATTCAGAAAAAACAATATTAGCAAGTCATTTAGGACGCGCACGTTAGGAAAACATGAACAAGTAAACTCAGTGTTTAACTTGAAGAAATGCTGGAAGGACATTTCTTTAAGGATGCAGATTTCTTCTCATCGCCAAGTGAACATAATTTCTTACACAGGAAAGTGTAGTACATAAGCACAGAAAAGTCTTTGCAGCTACTAATGTTGAAAGCCAAGAATGTTATATAAAAATATGTTAAAATTAAGAGAAAAGTATTGCTAGAATTAGTTGTTATAAAGTTAGATGGCCATCTCTAGCTAGAAATAATGAAAGTAAATAAATATAAAGTATTGTCAAAAATTTTCTTCAGAAAAGAAACAAAATTTAATGATAATAATCAAATTACTGCAATTTTTTTGGACGTCTTCCTTCAAATTCAATATTGAAGATTAATATTTGTTTCCAATGATATCTGCTTAAAGACAGATTTTGGAATAAGGTCATGGTTTCAAAAAATGTGAGTAGTTTTCTTGTGATTTTGCACGAAGCATAGGCAATTTTTACTTTTTTGTTATAAAATGTTTTTCAAAAACCGCTCCATTTTTTCTTAAAATTTTCTCCTCGTATGTATCAAGGGACGGTAAAAAATACAGTGCTAGTCCCCGTTTCCGATGAACCCGCCGTATTTTCAAAAAATTCAAAAACTTAACAGTTCAAAACTACAAAATTGAAGACAGAGATATTTGCCTTAGTCCCAGAGTGATGTAATAGATCCGGTCTTCAATAAAATTAATGTATTATTGTTTGGAGAAACGAGTAGTTTATGCGTAATTTGTCCTAGAAATTATTGCAATTTATAAAAACATTTCCTAAGGAAACGATCCAATTTTTTCTTGTAATTATTTACACAGATAGAAAAAGAGACGCCTAAAGGACGTGTCTCATTTTCATGGAGATCTGAATTTTACGATATTGCGAATTTAGAAATAATGCGGGAAAGTAAGAGCTTTTGAAGCATCTCTTGATTTTGAATTCCTTAACGATAATGTAGAAATGAATTTTTGTAGAAATAAAAAATAAATGTTCCTTTTTTTCTTTTTTTTCAGCTTGTGATAAACGGAACAAGATTGATGCAAGAGCATTCTAACTCCTTCCAAGAGTTAATGGACGTAGTAAGACTATCTCTAAGGAATAGCCTTACGTCCAGAAGATATAGAAATCATGTGCTATTTATAATAGACATGCATCATGCGCAGTTTCGATACTTATCCGAAGACAGAGAGAAGTTTTACAAGGTCAGTCTTAGACAGAATATGTCCAGTTCGTACCTACGGCTTCTGCTTTGGGAGGATACGTTCCATTCTTGTAATACGATCGAAAAGCTATTCTTATTGAGAATCACCTTTTTTCCATTGTGTGTTCTTTCCTATTGTTTACGTTTAGTGACTACGTTTCGGTCCTTCTTGGGATCTTATTTATGTGAAGGTTGTGTCTGAGTCTCGTAAGTCAGGGTCAAGTCTGAGTCAAGAAAGGTTTTTAAAACATTTTCGAACGAAAAACACAATTTGGAAGAGCCTTTGTTTGAGTTAACATGACAAAATATAAAAAACTAGTATATGAAATATATCAGACAACTGTTTGTAAATTTGCAGAAATAGAAAAGAAAAGTAAGTCTGTGATAAAAAAATAATGTTTCATAAGAATTATTCATTTGATTAACAGACGTTCAATGTAAAATTAATTTATGGTCAAAACGCATTTACCTCACCCACTCGGTGCACGCTTTTACAAAGGGTGAATCTAGTGCAAGTGGAACAAATGTTTCCGATGCAAGTTCTTTCGCCACAGCTTTCAGACACGAGCGCTTTCCGACATGAGTGATTCCGCAGTTATTAGTTGATATTGTGTACAAATTGTATTATTATAGTATTATAAACTCATGCATTAATATAAATATTCTGGCGTGTAATCGCCGATTAAAATAATTTATTAACCTTTCAGAGGTTTTGCTAGAAACCATAGAATTCGCAAAATGATTGTTCTAAATTTCATTGCTTTGTAAATACAGTCTATTGTCGTTACTTGCCACAATCGCTCCACTTGCTTTTTCATTTTGTTAATTCAAAGAAATGTTTGCAATTTGTTCATTGGATTGATGAATTTCGATTTCTTTCCCCATAAAAAAATGTTCAAACATTGTGCGGTGTCCTTTCTACTGACAATTTATCCTCTCTATTTGTAGTTTATTAATGAAATTTCTACAAATTCAGATACTTTTCTTTGTATTTGACTAGTAATGCAAAATACGGACATTTCCATTATGATATTTTACCGTCACCCTCTTGGTTCGCGTTTTTATTTCTCACAAAGCCTTTGGGAAAATTATTGATTTCTTAGACTCGTTGAAGCAGAAGTATGTAAATACTTTTTTACTAGTTTTAGGTGACATTAATGCTCGAATTGCCAATGAGCCGAATGTATTTTCCGGTATCAATCTGCAAGAATCGAGAGTCAATCCTATAGAAGGCAAAGACTCAGTCTTCAATAACGATGATCAGGAATTGAAATTGTGTGGTTTTAACCTCGAAATTTGAAATAGAAACCATGGGCAGGATACAGAAGGAGAACGCACGTTTATTAGTAGGAATGGTAGTTAGTGGGAAGGTAGTGTAATTATTCTGTACTGTCGCGTGAGAGAATAAACATATGGTTTCCGTGATCGAATTGCGGGTAATGAACGAATTACGGTGCGAATTCGATCATTTGCCCGGTTATTTAGCAAAAAATGCTACTGAAATGCAACCGGCAGTGAAGCGAGCTGGAGCAACAGACTTGACAATGGCAAGGAAATGGTTTGTGTGTAAGGAAAAGCGACAGGAATTTGAAGTCTTTTCTGAACTCGGCAGGGTGGGTGCAAAAGGGGTCGCCCGTGCCGCAAACCATGTATTCAGAATGCGGCTATACCGCGCCGGGAATTCCATGCGGGGTTGGGGGAGGGGAGATAGTGTACTGAACCAACAAGGATGATTTAGCGAGGCGTGTCGCGAAAGCAGATGTGAATCAATATTATCCATAAGTTCAGAAGTGGAATAACTGCGAGAAACAGTAACTTGTTATTTCGTGGACAGTATGCGGTCACAATTAAGACATGGAATCAATTTTGGTAGGTGACAGAGACTGCAAGAATATATGCAATTCTAAGGAACGTTCAAAATAAATTAATTTGGGACATTATCTGATCCCTGCTTAGTAAAATAAATGCAAGTAATATAATTTCAGCAGACATGTGGGTGCACTATTGTTTACGGATGCTCACATTGAAACAGGGACAGATATTTTCACTGATCGGAGTGTGCCTGAAATATAATTAGAGTTAAGTGAATACGGCTGTTCTAGTCAGTAGAGCTGTTCTAGCTAGAATGTTGGCGGCAGTATTGTTGTCTTCAAGAATATGTTCATATGGCGCAACAAAGAGAAATGGTATTTTGCGTACGATGAGCTCCACTGAGTGAAAACTTTTGCATATCTTGGTGCAAAATTTTCCAAGAATCGGGGATGGAATAATCACATAGCGATGGCTCAAAGTAAAGGAAATGTTGCACTCAAAGAATTCCAAGAGAAAAGATTATTACAAATTAATATTCGGAATCTCTTAAATTAGCTGTTTTCTACACCGAAACATGGTGAAAAAATAGATGGGAATGGGAAACTACTACTACTTCCAACATAGAAACGTAACGGTCGCCCAGAACATATAAGGTCTGACTTCATGAAATATTTAGGAACATTTCTAGGAAAGGTACCGTACAAGAATAATAACCCCTGCCCCACTTCCATATCGGTCGATACCCAATCACAAACCAGTTCGCGCAGCGACAGCCAATCAGAAGCCAGCGCGCGAAACAGCCCCCTCCACTACCCCCAACCGCGGCCTGTAAATGGAGCGGCAGAGACCAACGCGGCGTCAGTCGCCAGTCAGCCACCGGCCCGGACACTTCGCCCGAGACCTCGCCACTGAAGATGCCCACCGCAGTCGTGGGCGAAACGTTTGGCATCCCAGAGCCAATTGGACCACGGCCCATCAGCCCGGAAGACATGAAGAATATTTCTAGGAAAGGTTCGGACCATTAGGAAAACGAATGGACAACTTAATGGCCCTATCGACTAAATTCACTACTGCAGACCTTTTCATAGAAACAGAATGACAAGTTGAAGCTCATGTGAACAAAAAAAATGTAACACTATAATATAAGTTAAGTGAAACATTACAGAGATCTAACATGTATATTTCCATTAACAAATGTAAAATTCTATAATCAAATGTATAGCTTATCTTACACAGCGAACGGTTTTATAATCGCTCGTAACTCGGAAAATGATTTTTTAAACTATTTCATTTTTGAAGACTTAGTTATGTGGGTGCTCCACTCCATAAAATGGATTGCCAAAAAAAAGTACAGAAACGAAATATATGTAAAATTACTTTGAAGGAAAAAAAGAAATAATCTTTCATGTTAAAATTAAAGGGATTGATTGATTTTCTGTGCAATACAATCTCGAGACATAGCAATAATATTTAGAATAGAATAGTTACTTTCGCACAGTACCGGGCACATAATGCTGTAATGGACAGTGTCTTGGCTTTATTAAAAATATTTCATGAATTATAATGATAATTATTGTTGTTCTTGTTTTGTTATTTTTGTTACCATCATCATAACTATTTCAGCGGTTGTTGGGAGAGCACACCTTCTTTGGGTTCAGGAGAATGGTGCCGTCCCTGGCGCCCTTTCTCATGCAGGGGAGCAACAGTGGGGACACCACTGAAGATTTACAGTTCGAAAGCGGTCTTTCTGACAGTGAAGGACCCCAAGAACACCCTCAGCTACCTGACTTGCTCTCCCCTCCTGAGAACGGCGTGGTATGCTACCAGAACTCGCTTGCCGAGAATCCTGCTGCAGGCATTGTACCTAATTCCCTTTCTGGATATGGAGAGCAAGTGTGCTCATGTAATCCAGTATATTACACTCCGATTATGGAAAGTTGTGTGGGGCAAGACCAACAGTTAACATATGGATCTTCTTATACTGCCATTCCGAATTCAGACGCAATGGGAGTATTTATGGATCATGACCAATGGGGACAATTATATGACTCGTACCCGATTAATATTCCAGGAAACCATCTATATCCCGGACTAGAAGGTAAATCAGTACTACGTTTTAGAAGTAGACAGTTTATGTAGTTACGAGGTGCCCTGAATTGGCTCCGAGATAGATAGATAGATAGATTTATTAAAGTTCGCTTTGAGCTAATGCTCGGTGGCAAACATGATAA